AAAAAAAAAAAAAAAAAAAGTAAATCAGGTACAGGTCAGTTCATGTAAGCACTTTTATTTTTTAAAACGACTTAAAAGCCTTTAAAATCATGTTGCAGAAGGGCTTTCTGGCCACTTATTTGGAATTTTTTGGGCACATTTTAATCAAGAAGTCAGATCCAGGCATTTAAATGAGTACCTCATGAATACCTCTTTTGGATCTCAAGAATACTGCAGATTTTACATTGGATCAGCAAGACTCTGGTTTTTTGTATAAATACAGTAGTTGTGGGTTCAGTAGTACTAACACCCATAGGAGTACAGGCTTGGTTTGCATTTAGAAACAGGATTTTTAAGCAAACCAGTCCATGTTTGTTAGCTGTCTGTATTTTTTTCTTAGTGAGATTCTTTTTTTAAAATTTTTTTTATTTTTAAAATTATAAGTAGCTTTATGATCCAGTAAGGCAAAAGGTGATAAGCGTGAGCCGTCCTGTATTTTATACATCATTTTCACATCCTGGCTTTTCTCTCTTTGCATTGGCCTCCTTAGATGAGGCAAAAGTCTCAGTGACCTTAGAGCGGAACGCCTTGGAGAGGTGGTAGTACAGGATAGGATCAAAGCACAGGTTTGACACAGCGAGGAGCAGCGTGGCCTCTTTAGCTTTGTAGAGAGAAATCCTGGTGGGGCAGTCAGATATGACTTGTGTCTGGCTGAGGGTGTACGGGATTCTGACGATGTGATAAGGAACAAAGCATACGAAATAGCCCAAAGTCACTATCAGTATGTTGATGAGAGCTTTTTTCACGTGGGGATAGTTTTCATTATCTTTGTTTCTGTAGAGTTTTCTAATGACAAGGCAATTAGATATTAGAATAATGGCTGAGAAGTTTAAAAATATTGCTACACATATGAAATTTGTCAGCAGATGCCAGTTTTTCCCCAAATCCTTTTTAAAGTCCATACAACCCAAACCAGGCTTTTCCTCGATGTGGTTGATGGGAATGACCATGTTTGGCACCATGATAAGCAGGACCATGAGCCACACAACAGTGGATATCATTTTGGCAAATCCAGGTTCTTGTATCCGATAGACCTTGTAGCTGTGTGTTAACTGGAGACATCGATCAATGCTGACAAAGGCTAAGAAGATAATTGACAAGTACATATTGATGTACATGAGGCAGGCCGTTACTTGGCAGTGGAATATCTTTAGCTTCCAGGACGCCACACCCAGGTCAACAATAATTTTCACTGGTAACGCCAGGGTGAGCAGGAAATCGGCTGTAAGCAGATTAATTAGGTATATGCTCACGCACCTGTGATGTGTGTTTTTCTGGATGAAAGCCCAAGTTGCAAAACAAGTTCCAATAATTCCAACAAGGAAAACTAGATAAAAAAAATAGGAGAACAGCTCCCCATTTCTGTAAACCGGACAGAACGAACTGTTTGCCATCTTGAGGGAAGGTAAAGACGACTCCATCAATTGAAAAAAAAAATCTGTCAAAAGAATAAAAAGGAGGGGAGGTTGGTAAATGAAAACTATAAACTGTTTTCTTTAAAAAACAGTGGCACTCTCCCACGTTGTCCAGTGAATAGAAAATTAAAAAAAAAAAAAAAAACTACATTCACAATACCCTTGTCTTTCTAGCTCTCAGATAGAATTTTACTGGTGAACTTATTAGAGCATGCGGTCTGATAAGAATATCCCGGATCGCGAGGAACCCTAGGTTTTCGTGGTCTGATTTTGTGGCTTTCAGGACATGCCAGGCAGGTTTGCATTTGGAAGGGATATTTTCAATCTCATGCTTTTGCATTCTGGTACCTCTTTTGTTAGCAGGCGGGGTTGCAGAGGACATAAAGGCACTGAGATTCTGAGAAGTGGAGAGAGGAAACTAGGGTTGTGGTTGAGTCGGGAGACCTTTCAATGAGGCTTTCTGCTTTTTTGTTGTCTGTGTTTTTTTTTTTTCCTATGCTCTGTAGGTTCATATAGCTCCTTATCCAGGAAGAGCCTAGGGTGATAGGGGAGATAGTAGTAAAATATGAAAAGTGCTATTTAAAAAGAAGGCTCTTAAGGTGGATCCTATGAGATCATTTTCAGAAACAGAGTTTCATTTGTCTCTTTAGCAGAAAGAGTTGCAATATTAGAATCACTGATTATTTCCTCCCACTTCCTTGCCCCGGGTTCATGTGTTACGATTCTGTGATGTCCAGATCATAGCTTCATAGCTTCTAGCCACGCTGAACACTTGAAATGTGGTCCGTTCCAAGTGACGTGTGCCATAAATATAGTCTACACACTGATTTTGATGATTTAGGGCAAAATAATATAAAAATAGTATAAGCATTAGAAATTATACTATTTTATACTAATAGTTCAAAAAGAATCTTTAATAGATTAATATTTTAATATTGAGCACATGTTGAAAAGATATTTTTATATACAAGCTTAAATATGTTATTTATGTTAATTTCTCTTTTTTTGGACACAGCGACTACAAAACTTTATCTTACCTTTGTGATTGACTTTATATTTTTATTGGAAATTACTGGTATAGATGTTTCTAGGTTGAATTTTTTTGGGTTCTTTTGTGATAATTTATTTTAAAATACTCTAGAACATGAGTGTATGTTTATTTGTTATAAAATCCTCAGACAGAGGCCTAGTTTGATACTAATTTGATTAGACAAAGTTAGAAACATGTAACTTTAACACTTGGGTGTCGTTTGGTTCATTGTAGGTTTATTGTGTGTGTGGTTTTTGGCCGGAGCTGGGTTTGAACCCTTCACTTCTGGCATATGGGGCTAGGGCCTTAAACTCCTTTGAGGCACAGGCACCACCCACTCATTGTAGGTTTTTTTTTTTTTTTTGAGACAGAGCCTCAAGCTATCCCTCTACTCTATCTGGGTAGAGTGCTGTGGTATCACAGCTCACAGCAACCTCCAACTCCTGGGCTCAGGTGAGTCTCTTGCCTCAGCCTCCAAGGTAGCTGGGACCATAGGTGCCCACCACAATGCCCGGCTATTTTTTTTTTTTGGCATCATTGTTGTTTTGGCGGGCCCAGGCTGGATTTGAACCCGGCCACCTTAGGTGTATGTGGCTGGCACCTTAGCCACTCATTGTAGGTTTTGAGGTGGTCATAGCCTATCAATGTAAGATACACCCTTAGAACCATTGTCATGTCCCCTCCAGATCTGGAACATTGAGTTCATTTATAAGCTCACCTTAAACTAATCAGGCTCTCTTTGACCTGCTCTAGTCACACTCTGAGTTCAGAGTCACAGGCACTTCTTTCTGGTATTGCCTGTTGATTTGGGTCTTCCTTTGCATATTAAGCAATAGTCTTTTGTTTTAAAGACCAGAAGATTATTTTTGTGTTTTAGCAGGAAATAATTGTTATCAACCCTAGTAAGGATAGCGAATAGTAAGTCATAGTGGCTGACATATTAAACAGAAGGCTAAATTGTCCATTTTCTGGAGTCTCCTTTAAGAAAAGAAAAAACACCCCCCCCCCAAAAAAAGAACTTTTGAAGCCTCCCTAATCTTAATTCTTCCAATTATCTCATGATGCATTGTGTACATTTTGGGATGAAACAATGCTTCAAAAGTTTTTTTGAGGTGCTGTGCAAGTGCACACGCCTTTCTCTTTTCCCTGAGTTAGGACTTTAGAGTACACAAATAATGTCCTTCACCAGACTCTGAGAAGAGTCAAGCGCTTGCTTTGTGTCTGGTGCTGTGCTAAGTATGTGTACTTGTTAAACCTTTCATCATTCCTCTGTGGTGTTATCATTCCTGCTTTACAGATAAAAAAAAAACTGAGACATATAACAGGGTCAAGTACCCAGTATTATATAGCTGGTAGATAATAGAGCCAGGATTCCAACACAGTCTCAGAAATCACATTCCAAACCATTCTGAAACATGGTCTCAATAATAATAGTAATAATAATGATGATGATGGTTATTACAGCAGCCTGTCTATACTGAAGGCTGACTACGTGGCAGAACTATATTCTAAGTAATCTCTGCTGAAGTAAAACATTCATTTTAGCCTTTTCCTTAAATAATAAAAGAAGTTTGACATTTCATTTTATAGTATGTATGTACATTTAACAATCAAACCTAGGTCCTGTCCAGTAAGTTCAAACGAACTTCCCTTTCAGAGTTCCCACAACCTAATTCCTCTCCACCGTCCCTACTCTCTACTTCAGTGTGATGGGATGTCCACTGTTGGGTGGAAAGTTCCTTCCTGCTTCTGTGCCTGATGAAAATTTTGGAATCACAGGGCTTTAAGGATGGATGGAACCTTTACAGATAGCATACAGTCCAGCCCCCAAATCAGCCGAGACTGAGGTTTGGCTCTAGGGTGTTGTTCAATATTTCATAGGTTGTTCAAGCCAGACTGCCCTTGTTGGTATTTTCAAGGGTCTCTGCCTTTATCCTTCCTGTTTTTGAATCTTGCTTATTCTAAGGGCTTGAAGAATCTCTTCACACTTGAAAGCTACTCCAGGCTTTAGACCCTGATTTTTACCTTGGAATTTTGAATGTGGTTTTCTTTATGTGAAAAACTAGTATTAGTGTATGTTGATCTTGTCCCCCATCTTTTCTTGTTGTTCCTTTTCAGGGCACTAAGATTTTGGCTTATGCTCTTTTATGTCAAATGTTACATGATAGTGGTAACCCAGATTAATAATGCGTTTTAAGTTCCCCATTTTTGCATAGCAATATCTAATAGTCTCATTTTATCAGTGAATAATTAGAATAATTTGTTTCGATTAATATTCTCTAATTAGAACTGGCCAATATATTTGTATTATACATGACTAACTTATTTAACGTAGTTACACTGTCACTAATCATTCAGTAATGCCTGAGAATCAAGGAGACTCTCAAGTTTGCTTTTATGAACTTCTGTCTAGATGGCAGTGAAAAATCTGTTTACTTAGACTTTTTGGTTATGTTGATTAGAAGTTAAATTACACTGTTAACAACATCCTATGCTCTGTCACAAATTTGAGAAGAAAGAGCTTAATAAACATCTTATCAACCAACTATTAGTCAATGGAAATTTGAAGTATTCAGAGGTAGTCCAGTGAAATAAGAAAAGGCTTTATGCCGACTTAGTTTGGATAGAGTGCCCATTGCTTAGAAAATAAAATCACTAGATTTTTCTACAAGAGTCACAATGAATTTTTCTTGAAATCACCTACTGTAATGTTTGTGGAGTCATTTCAAGACCTGTTGTGAAGATCTACAGCCTGGCATTTGTCTATCCAGTTATAAAATGGAGTTACTGAATAGTCCTGCTTGCATAGGAATTCAGTCAGGTGTGAATTAAGCCCTTTGAGACAGGTGGAGGTGCTCGTCAGATAGTAGAAAAGTTTAGTGTAGTTCATACCGTGAATAGTGTTTAATAAATGGTGTTCTCTTACCTAGCAACCCTGCTACATGCTGGGTTTTTCTACTTATGTTACCTAAACAGTGAAAATCATAAATTCGCCTTAGTTGGGAAAGCATTTGAATAGATTTAAGTATTTAAAAAGACATACCTGGGGGTATCTTCTTCCCTGGGCTTCCCTGGGCTTCGGAGGGGCTAGCTGCAAGTCTTGAGAGAAGCATGAGCGTCTCTGTTCTCAGTTAGCTGCTGCGGCAGCAGCCCCACAGCAGGGCTGCTGGCTTTACTAAGAATTTCCTTTCCTTTTTGTGTGGTTTTAATATGTTGCATTTTGACGTAGATGAAGCTGTGGTTTGCAAATAGTTTAACTGTGAAAGTTTCCTAAAGGTTTTTTTTTTTT